AGAAGACTTTTTAAATTTCTTGTAACAGTGGTTTGGTAGTGATGAACTCCTTAAACATTTTCTTGTCTGGGAGGCTCTTTATCTGTCCTTTAATTCTAAATGAAGCTTTGCTGGGTAGAGTAATCTTGGTTATAAGTCCTTGCATTTTGTCATTTTAAATTTTGTGCTAATCGCTTCTGACCTGCAAAGTGTCTGTTGAGAAATCAGCTGAAAGTCTTATGGGGACTCCCTTGTGAGAAACTAACTGCTTTTTTCTTGCTACTTTTAGGATACTGTTTTTATTTTTAACCTTTGCCATTTTATTATTTATATTTTTAAAATTAAATTTATTGGGGTGACATTGGTTAGTAAAATTATAAAGATTTCACCCTGGTTGGCATGGCTCAGTGGGTTGGGCATCATCCTGTAAAGCAAACGGTTGCTGGTTTGATTCCAGTCAGGAACTGGGTTGCGGGCCTGGTCCCCAGTTGAGGCAGGGAGACAACTGGTCAATATTTCCCTCACACATTAATGTTTCTCTCCCTCTCTTCCTCCCTCCCCTGTCTCTAAAAATAAATAAATAATATTTTTTAAAAAGATTATATAGGTCTCAAATGTATAATCCTGTTACATCATCTGTATATTGCATTGTGTGCCTACCACCCAAAGTCAAATCTTCTGTTACCTAGGGGTGGGCAAAAGTAGGTTAACAGTTTTTCATGTGGAAAAAGACATACAGGTTATGATTATTACAATAACTTTGTGAACTCAATGGAACAGTGTACTCACAAGTGTAATCCTACTTTTCCCCGCCACTGCATATTCGACCCTCTACTTTTTACTACTCCTTCACTTCCCTTTCGTCTGGTTACCACCATACTGCTATTTGTGTTTATGAGTTTTTTGTCTATTTGTCTTGTTTGTTCAATTGTCGCTTTCAGTTTTATATCCCACAAGTGAAATTATATGGTTCTTAACCTTTATGTGTGACTCATTTGACTTAGCATGATATTTTCAAGATCCATTTATGTTGTTGCAAATGGCACTATTTCATCTTTTCTTACGGATGAATAGTATTCCATTGTATATATGTACTATATCTTCTTTATCCAGTCATCTAATGAAGGACACTTTAGTTGTTTTCATGTCTTGGCCACCATGAATAATACTGCAATGGGCATAGGGGTGCATATATCTTTGCAAATAAATGTTTTTCAATTTTTCGGGTAGATACCTAGAAGAGGGGTTGCTGGGTCATATGGTACCTCTATTCTTAATTTGTTGAGAAGCTTCCATACTGCTATCCATGGTGACTTTACAAGTTTACATTCCTAACAGGAGTGAATGAGGGTTCCTTATTCTATATAACCTCTCCCACACTTGTTATTGTCTTGTTGATTATAATCATTCTAACAGGTATGAGATCATATCTCATTGTAGTTTTCATTTGCATTTCCCTAATAGCTAGCTAGTGAAATTGATCATCTTTTCATATATCTGTTGACACTGTGTATGAGGAGGGACCCAAAACTCCCTGTAATTTATTTATAAAAAGCTGTGTATTTATTCTTACAAGTTTAAATTTCAGTCATCAAAGCAGTCTCCATTTGATGCAATACACCTATGAAGACATTTTTTCCCACTGCTCAAAGCAGTTTTTGAATTTATCAATTTTGATATCTGTTAGTGCTTCTCACATTTTTTTGTTTCACCTCTTCCACATCAGCAAAATATCTCCCTTTGAGGAATTTTTCATCTGGGAAAATTAAAAAAAGTTGCTTGGGGCAATACTGGGTGAATAGGGAGGGTGGGGTGGGGGGTCATGCCTTTTTTGGTCAAAAACTGCTGAACACTCAGTGTGGTGTGGGCGCTCATAAATCACCCATCGTGAAATGGGCAAACTCACTGAAAGACTCTTTAAGAAAAATTTACTGAACCAAACACAGCCTCTCACAACCTGGTACACTGATACAGATGGGTTCTAGAACACTCACCTAGCAGGGGAAGCCTGTGTTACCAGCTAACTGGAAGTGAGCCCTCCAGAAGATAATTCCAGTTTTTTTGGGTTCCCCCTTGTATCTTCTTCAGAGAAATGTCTGTTTAGGTCCACTGTCCATTTTTTAATGGATTGTCTGTGTTGAGTTTTATGAATCCTTTATATATTGGATATTAACCCCTTTCAAATATCTTCTCCCATTTGTTTGGTTGCCTTTTTGTTTTGTTGGTGATTTTTTTTGTGTGCTGAAGATTTTTAATTTGATATAGTCCCATTCATTTATTTTAGCCTTCCCTTGCCTTGGGGTTTCACTCATAAAACCCTAAGATCAAGGTCCATAGATTTAGATGAACCTGTGTTTTCCTCTATGTAAAATATTGTTTCCAGTCTTTTTTAAAAAAGGTTTTATTTATTTTTAGAGAGAGGGGAAGAGAGGTAGAGAAAAATCAATCAGTTGCCTCTTGCACACCCCCAACTGGGGACTTGGCCTGCAACCCAGGCATGTGCCCTGACCAGGAATCAAACCAGTGACCTTTCAGTTTGCAGGCCAGCACTCAATCCATTGAGCCACACCATCCAGGGTTGTTTCCAGTCTTATATTAGGTCTTTGGTCCATTTTGAGTTAATGTTTGTTTATGAGAACAAACAGTAGTCTGGTTTCATTCTTTTGCATGTGACTTTCCAATTTTCCCAGCACCATTTATTTAAGGGACTTTCTTTTATTCATTGTGTTGTTGGCTCCTTTGTTGAAAATTATTTTCCCAGATACATGTGGGTAACAATTGCCATTTTAATAATGTGTCTTGGTGTGGGCCTCTCTGGGTTAATCTTATTTGGAACTCTGTGCTTCCTGGACTGTGTGCCTTTTTCCTTTACCAGGTTAGCTAAGGAAGTTTTCAGTCATTATTTATTCAAATAAGTTTCAATCCCTTGCTCTTTTTTTCCTTCTGGTACCCCTATGATGCAGATGTTGTTATGCTTGATGTTATCCCAGAGACCTTTTAAATTATCTTCATTAAAAAATTTTTTCTTTTTGCTGCTTTGATTGGGTGTTTTCTGATGTCTTCCAAATTGCAGATTCAAGCATCTGCTTCATCTAATCTGTTGATTCCTTCTAGTGTGTTCCTCATTTTAGTTATTATATTCTGCATGTCTGACTGGTTCTTTGTTATGGTTTCTATGTCCTTTTTTAATGCTTTTGAAGTTCTCATTAAGTCCTTGAGCATCCTTATAACCATTGTTTTGAACTCTGATAGTTTGCTTGCCTCCATTTCATTTAGTTCATTCTCTGGAGATTTTTCCTGTTCTTTTATTTGGGACATGTTTCTTTGTCTCCTTATTTTGACTGTCTCTCTGTGTTTATATATTCAGTAGATCCACTGAGTCTCCTAATCTTGGTAGGTTGGACTTCTGTAGGCGGTGTCCTGTAAAGCCCAGTGATACAACACCCCAAATCACTCGAGCTGGTGCTCCAGGTATGTCCCCAATGTGGGCTGTGAGCACCCTCCTGTTGTAGTTGAGCCTTGATTACTGTTGGCATGTTAATGGGAGGGATTTACCCCTAGGCTGATCACCTTCAAAGACTGGCTGCAACCACCATGGAGGATCAGCTGTGCAGGGGGTCCACTCCATGGAGCAGCACTTACTTCAGTGGGGGCTCTGGTGCCTCCTGTATTTGCCCCATGAGCGTGTTGCTTGTGGAGGTGTTTTGGGTGGTGGTGCTTCAGTGGGGTCTGTTGCTTTCCACTGGGTGCACTGGCTCTGAGGCCTCCTGAGAAGGTGTAGGCCAAGGTCAGCTTGCAAGGTCGCAAGGTCTGGGACCACCAAGCATGAGCTACAAAGTGATCTGTAGATGGCTGCGACTTGTGCTGGGGCTGCAGGTGCCCAGAAGAGGCCAAGCTGTGAACCAAGGCCATCTTCCACTAGTGCTGTGCCTGAGTCCACTTAGCAAGAGGTACAGGACGCCCAAGCCCCGATGCTGCTTGTTTGAGAGATTTTTATGGAAGCCTGAGTGAAGACAGGCCATTTGTATGGAAAAGCCACTGAAAATAGCTTGGGTGATCCTTCAAGTTGGGTGGGTGGATCTCAGGAATCACTAGGGGGTGGGGGCTAACAGTGCTAGCCACATTGATGGAGACTGATATTTTATCCACTTGCCAGCTCTTTTGGGGGGCAGGGAGGGCTCAGAAAAGGAACAGTGGTACCTGCCAGCACTTCTGAGAAAGCTGCTGCTCCAGTTCTTGCCCTGATGCTTTGCAGTTCAGTTCCTCCCCATATGTCCCTGGTGCTGTTGCCCCAGTGCTTGAACTCAGAGTTATTCCAGGTAAGTCTCCATGTTGGCCCTTTAAGAGAAACAGCTGTGACTCTCGAAGTCCTCCATCTCCCTCAGCCACCATCCCTTCTGGTTTTTACAGCCAGAAGTTATGGGGTCTCCTCAGAAGGGAACTCGCAGCCGAAGTACCGCTCCTGATTTTTAACTGCCTCATATGGGTATGGAACCAGCCCATTCTGAGGTTTCTCTGCCCCTACCAGTCCCTAGGTGGCTTCTCCTTATATTATAGGACCTCTGTTCAGCTAGATTTCAGGTGGTTCTCAATTATGGTGGTTCTGTGGTTCTACGATTAATGTGGTCATGGGACGTTGCCAGTACCCTGTTTATCTATTCAGCCATCTTGACTAGAATCCTAAGAATACTTTTCTGATAACGGACATACCTTTTTTTTTTTAGGCTGAATTTAAGAAAACATTAATCTCAGTTCCTGTAGTTATAATAGCTGCACCATAATAGCAATGCTGTTTGTTTGAATACTGTGTTATCTGTGACTTTCCTCCATGATCGGCAGGAATTGCATGTCATCATTCTAGAGTAATTTCAACAACGTATGACTAGAAAGAGAAAAGCAAGAGAAATTTAAAGTAAGATTGGGGATTGAGAAAGCAAGGGGAACAATGAAACCTTCAATGTGTAGGTTTCTGTCAACTGGAAAGACACTAATTGCTGTGTACATTTTTTCATCTTCCTCAGCCCCTTCCTCAGAGATCACTTATCGCATGGTTGCAGCTGACTTGTTCCACTCCCTGCTGGCAGGTGGCGGTGCGCCTTGTGTAGTGAAGGTGCAGAGCCTCTTTGTGTTAGATGAAAACAGCTACCCATTGCAACAAGATTTCTCCCTACTGGACTTTTTTCCTGATGGTGTAGAATATGCATCCTGTGCTCTTCCCTGAGACCAGATGAAGAAACAGCAGGAACTTTAAAGAAGACCACTGAAATGATTTATTTTTTGAAACATACAGCCCTGGATGGTGTGGCTCAGTGAATTGAGCACTGGACTGCAAAGCAAAGGGTTGCCCGTTTGATTCCCAGTCAGGACATATGCTCAGGTTGCAGGCCAGGTCCCCAGTAGGGAGCATATGAGAGGCAACCACACATTGATGTTTCTCTCCCTCTTTCTCCTTCCCGTCCTCTCTAAAAATAAATAACATGGAAAAAAAAAAGGCTTACAGTTGTTCCTGTGGAAAATAATAATAAACAAGAATAAACTGTTTCATGTACTCACAACTAAACCTGCTTTTGCCCACCCCTGTATTTTATAAAGAGCTAAATATATTTAATAAAGAGCTAAATATATAAATTAAAACTTTTTTTCCTAAGGAAATTCTGTTAGGATTTTTGTTTTTGTCTTTTCCTTTCTTGTCTATAGGACAGTGATTTTCAACCTTTTTCATCTCATGGTACACATAAACTAATTACTAAAATTCTGCAGCACACACAAAAAAATATATTCTATTTTTTGTCAATCTGACAAAGCTTTAAAGTTTCTCTTCTGGAGAAATGATTTAGCAATAAAAGCAATACATCCCCTATGAAATAAAGGTTCACTTTATATAGTCCTTACTACATTCCAGGCACTATACTAAGTATTGCGGATACAGATGTAAAACATTTCCTCAGGAATTGCTTTTCTGCTCTACTCATACACTGTTTTCCCTTATTCCTATTGTAATAAACTATCAATATGAAATGGTTTCCTTAATTATAATTATACATAATGTATTAGTTTGAACAAGCCTATGTTTAGCAAGTTCAAGATAAGCATGTCTTTTTATAAAGAAGCATTGAAAATGAAGGAAACAAGGTCATGTTTCATTATATTAAAGGAAGAGAGTCGTACTGTTAGTTCACTTCTAGAATATGAGTGCCTTACTGAATTTACTTACCAACAAACATTTGGCAGTTTGTTTTATCATTATGACTGTAGAGGCTCATAGGAAATAGTAATCACCAATGAGGAAATATGTAGTGATATTTAACCTGTAAGTTTGGACTATAATGCGAGTTAATAGCTTAATAATATTGCTTGAAGACTAAATTCATGATGAAATGAACAAGTACACTTTACTAGGTCTGTGTTTTGTTATATTCTTTTGGTTCATTGCAATTGTTATCTAATTCAGGCTTTTGTAAAAACTTGGTTCTCTTACAAGTGAACCTCAGGAGTTTTGTTATTCTCTAAAACATAATATGCAAAAACGTGTGTAGGAGAGTACAAACACACTCAGAAGTCCATTTTCTGGTGGAGAGAGGTACATACTTTCCATTAAATCCTCAGCGGCATCTTTGACCAAAAAAAAAAAAAAAAAAAAAAAAGTGGTGTAGAAACTTTGAGAGTTATTTTGTGGGAAAGATAAGGATTTGTAGTTTTATGTAACACCTACTAAAATGGGTAGAGTAAGAGCTGTCCCATTTTGTATCTAGAGATACTGGAATTCAAACAAAATGGTTGACTCCTGGATAATTCATCCAATAGATGATGAAACTTGAGCCTGGAGCTGATGTCCTCTAATCCATGCTCTTTCAACCATAACCACAGCAGGAGCAAATTCAGAGTTCTAATATAAAATCAGTCCAATCAGTATGCCTACCAAGAGTTTTTTTTTTTCAGTTTGCCCTTCTCTACTTTGTCCCCAAGATGTGGCCTAGTCCCTTCATCAACCAAAACAATCCTCTGAATAGATGGCTCTTCACATCCTAATGTCAACAGGTAAAAAGCCTTTCCAGGGTGTCCAACCTTTTGGCATCTGTAGGCCACACTGAAAGAGTTGTCTTGGGCAGCACATTAAAGTGTGGCATATAATCATAAAAATCTCATAATGTTTTAAGTAAATTTATGCTTCTGTGTTGGGTCACATTCATAGCCATCCTGGGCTGCATGTGGCCTCCAGGTAGTGGGTTGGACACCCCTGTTTCCATTTCAAGTCAGACAAAGAACACCAGGTTACACCAATATCTCTTCACAGCTTTTGGTATATTTTCATGGGTTAACATTTCCAGCAAATTTTACTTAGGCTAAAAATGATTTCCTCCTGCCCTGAGGAATCTGATCTATTTCCAGAAATTATTGTCTATTTTATTGGGATCAGGGGAGCCTCAGCTTCTAGCTGTATTCCTTACCTAAAATGTACAAGTGAGTATATTTTACCTGCTCCATAACATTTTCATAAAACTCAATTGGGTAGCTTAAGAGTTTTAGCGAATTTAGTGGTTCTATACCTGGCAATCCCATGGTAGGCATTTTAGGAAAACCTGATTCTTCATCTCCTGATAGTTCAGCTGAAAGGGACAGTTCTCCCATCTTAGAGGACCTTTGATTGGTACTTGATATTAACTTAGCTTTTCCAAATGTACAGTTTCTCTAACAACTATTACAGGCATTCATCTTTTTCCCTACTAGTGAGATCTGTGCTAAATTTCCATTTACATCTTGGATTTTTTTTGAGGGGGGCGGGGTGGAGGGAGGTTTCTGGTCTTCAATTGGAATGTCAAAGTTGTACACATGATCCACTCTACAGACATTTGCTGAGAATATACCATGTACTAGGCACTGGGAATACAAAGACAACATAGACAAATAAGAAGGCCTGCCTTCAAGTTTATGAGCAAGCTGGTAGAGAAATACTTAAACAAAATAATAGTGCTGGGATTAAGTCTGTGTGGAAAAGGCACAAGAGGTAATGAAATAGTATACACTAGGACTCTTGGTTGCAAATGATAAAAACCCAACTCACATTAGTTTGAGCAAAAAAAATGGGAGATATTGCCCTGGCTGGTGTGGCTTAAAGGCTTGAGCGCTGGCCTGCAAAGCAAAGGGTCACTAGTTCAATTCTCAGGGCACATGCCTGGATAGCGGACCAGGTCCCCAGTAGGGGGCATATGAGAAGCAACCACACATTAATGTTTCTCTCTTTTCTCCCACCCTTCCCCTCTCTAAAAATAGATCTTTTTAAAAAAAAAAAAACGTGAGATATTATTTCATGTAACTGCATGTAGTTCTAGTTTAAGACACAGATGAATCCATTGGCTTAAATTTTGTCATTTGGTTACCCCAACTCCCTGATTCTTTCCCTTCCCTTCTATTTTTCCCATTTTTCTCCTTGTCCTCTTCTCTCCCCTTCCTGTGTTTCTTTTTCCCTCTCTCCTGTCCTTTCCCTCCTTCATTTTTCCATCTTTATCTTTCCCACCTATGTTCATGGATAAAAGATGACTGTAGGAAGCCCTGAAGTTTCCTTTTTACAGAAAGAGACTCTTTGCTAGTATCACATAGCAAATTTCATGGACGGATTCTGATGGAATTTGCTTAGTTTACCTTCCCTCCCCCTTTAACCAGGGGTAGGGGGGACAGTGGGACTGAAAAGGTTGAAACCACATAGGATGAGAGGAACCCTTCATTAATGAAAGGGGAGCCTGAGATAGGCACAAACATGTCCGTGGCAATGGAAGATGCAAGAAGGCTTCAGAGGAGAAATATTTAACCTGCATTTTTAAATATAGGAGGTTTTCATCACAAAAACAATGATGGGCATCTGATAATATAGCATATTTGGGAAAATGGAACATCTCAAATGGGGCCGAAGAAATGAATAGCCCCTCCCCCCAGCATGAACAGGAGAGACATAAGATACTGCAACAAAGACAATGCATTTTGGGAGGAATTTTTTTTCTTCTATCTTCACCAGAGGAGTGTTTTTCATTTCTTTTTTAGGGACAGAGAAAGAAAGAGAAACATATATTTGAGAGAGAAACATCAATCAGTTACCTCCAATATGCACCTGGACCCAGGATTGTAGGTGCTTGGACGGGGGGTTGAATACGAAACCTAGACATGTGTCCTGACTGGAAATCCAAGCTGCAACTCTGAATTCAGTTATAAGATGATGCTCCAATCAGCTGAACCACACTGGCCAGGGCCATTTCTGAAGAAATCTTAACTTACAAAGCAATGGAGGTTTTGTGTGAAGCACTGAATTGCATTTCCTAGTAGCTACAAATGACATCGCTGAGATGCCATAAAGTATAACTCTGGAGTTCTAGGAAACCACAGACAAGTTCCATCAGATTTCAGATAACTGAGTTACCATTGTAATTCAGGCTGTGAAGTATTGTTTGTTATTGAAATGAATCTAAAGCAATGATAAATTTACTATAATACTTCATGTCCTAAAATTCACATTCATGGGATTTGAAGTTGATCAGAAGAGGGCTTTTAAAAAAGAGATTTTACTTATTTTTAGAGAGAAAGGGAAGGAGAAAGGGGAGAGAAACATTGTTGTGCCAGAGAAACAGCAATCAGTTGCCTATCACAGGCCCCAGACCGTGGAGCTGGCCCGCAGCTCAGGTAGGTATGTGCTCTGACTGGGATTTGAATCTGAGACCTTTCAGTTTGCAGGATGACGCCTGACCCACTGAGCCACACCAGTCAGGGCAGAAGAGAGCTTTTAGTCCATATGTTGTTTCACACGAGTAGATAGTCCTACAAAGTTTTGATAGGATAACTTTTTCACAATAGTCATAAATTATCATCATCCCCAGAATTCTCCTAAACTACTGATGCAAGGCCCTAAATTGTTTAAGACTAGTGTTACTAATGTTAGAACAACCTACATAGTTGACTGTGAGCTATGGCATGACTTTCTTAGAAGAAAATATCTGTAATTTCTCAGCACACTATAGAATGAAACAGAAAAACTAACTGTCCCTATTCTTTCATTCTAAATGCTAAATTTGTATCCTGAAGTGTTTCTAGATGGTCCAGTGCAGGTCATGAATCAGAATGATTAGACCAAAGTGATCATTTTTCCTAGGAGTTTAACACTGGCACTTGTTTTAATGTCAATAGGGGGAGAAATATGTGAGGGAATAAGGGTTACCAATCAATTGTTATGTCTTTGGAGGTTTTGACCTTGATTTGTTATTAAAAAGCTTGCTCCAGCTCTGGCCAGTGCAGCTTAGTGGTTGGAGCATCATCTAATAACCAAAAGGTTGTAGGTTCAGTTCCCTGTCAGGGCACACACCTGGGTTGTGGGTTCATTCCCTGGTTTGGGCATGTGCAATTCCCTGTCGGGGAATATTTCTCTCTCTTCATTACTCTCTAAAAGCAATGAAAAAAGTGTCCGTGGGTGAAGATAATTTTTAAAAAAAACCAACTTCCACCCACTTAAGAAATATATTTACTAAGGGTGACCTCTCTGCTTCCAGGTGGAGGAGAAGGTATGGTCACCTTGTCCTTTTTCCCACGGCAGCTTCTTACAGCTGAAGGGAGGGCATGCATTAGCACT